GCATGAAGCCAGCAATTCACTTCAGTAGGGGGCAGTATCTATGAGCGCCAAGATGAATTAATTTTTGTTGAGTAGTGATGGGTAGGGATCGGTAATGTAGAATAAATACAAAGCTCATATTTAGATGTTTTTATGCATGCCTTTTCTCTAGAAAAGCCGATCTCACTGTGTCCAACATAAGCTTGTCATTAGTAACCATACCTTTGAAGACATCCATTTCGATGATTGGGATTACTATCAGCAATAACCTATCTTGGGAAAATCACGTTAGATCAATACTAAAAGTGCATCCCAAAAACTTGGTTTTCTGTTTCGGACCAGGAGCTATTTCCGAGGCTATTTCACTTCCAGCCAGCCTGCTTATGGTCTATAAGGCACAGATCCGACCTGTCCTGGAATACTGTTCCCCTATTTGGAGTGCAGCATCCAAACATACTCTGAAACTGTTGGATTCTGTCCAAAAAAGGGCAATTCGTCTCGTGGGTGATGCCTGGCTCACAATTTCTTTAACTTCTCTGGAACACCGTAGAAAAGATGGCAATCTAGCTCTATTTATTAGATATATTCATGGACGATGCTCTTCTGAGATATCAACAAATGTTCCTCCCTTAGCAGTCCCCGCGAGATTAACCCGTCGAGTTGACGCTTCGCACCCCTTCGTGGTCACTTCGGAGACCTGCAAAACATCTCATTCCAAAGACTCGTTCATACAACAAACAGCGAGGCTCTGGAACACATTGCCAAGGGAGTTGTTCCCCGAGGCATATAACCTCCAGAAATCTAAGAAGAACACCAATTCCCACCGTATTTCCCTTGGTTCTCACGATGTTCTCCGAACATTACAGGATAAATTCCTTTTCGTGGAAATCAGAACATAAAACATAAATGCAAGAAGGAATGTCGCATCAGGGCCGGATTAAAGTATTTTTATTCAAAGGCCTTCAGAAAGTCAAAGTTAGTGATTTTTCGGCTGCAGAAATAAGGATATTCCTAGATAGTTCAGCAACTTGCAGACAGATGGACTCGAGCAGATTCCGAAAGTATAAACAAATCGGTAATATTTTGCTGTTTCGCGAATCAACTCATTTCGGATATCTTACTCTCCTCAGTAACCTGAAGTCCAGTAATTCTTTCAACCATTCTTCATGATAATGATGGAAGTAAGATATGGTGCGCGTATTCGGCCATTATTACGTATTGAAATTTTATGAAAAATCACTCGACCGCCTACTATCATTTCTCTACGTCACAATGAGCGATACGTTGATTCTACATTTTCCCGCTATATGGCGATGCTGCTATTGCTGCGGTGACGAGTGGAAATGAAATGGCAAATGAAATTTTAGGTACGCGGAATATGTGCAACAGTGGGATTATTCAACTCTGAATTCGAAAAATCTGCGACAATTTCAAAACTGACAGATGTCATAATTGTACAATGTCGCCATCTATTAGAAGATCGACGGAACCATTGCTCTCGCTGGTCTCGAGAGTAAAATTTCTGAAACAAAAGTGCTTTAAATCTTACTTCCATATGATATACACAGTTTTTATCTTTCTCTAATATAACTAAAACGGAAGTGACATCTGAGATTTTTTTTTCACGTCATGTATAATGACTATGAATTTGTCATACATCCAAAAATTAACGACATTAGTTAATGTGAATCTGAGTCTGATTCAGAGGTGAGTATATTATCATGTCTTATCTTTGCTATGTTGTGTGTGTGTTGTTGATAGTTTCTATCTATTTACTATTTGTTTTAACAACTTTTTTCTTCTGAAATGTGGCAATGTTGCTTCATTGCTAGCGCGTTATTACGGCATTATTTAGCCCGTGTATAGTTTATACGAAGTCAGTTGAAAAAGACAGAAAAAATTTCAACCAGCTGCATGTCGACAAATCCTTTGACAAGCCGCAGCTCACAGCGGCGGGAAAAATATATTTTTCGTTACCACAAATTAAAGCTGTTTTTGAATGAATTTTTTATTGTTCAGAAATTACCTACATATCCATTTTGGAACATGAGATTATCGAATATTGGTTAGTTGTTTTTAATGGGTGTTCGCCAATAGCCCTATCGTCTCACATTTGGAATATGAATATAAAATTGAACCAAATCAGAATATAACATTAAAATTAATAAAAATTCTCAACAAAATTAAATAAAAAAAAACATTGAACTTAATGAACATTTTCAACAAAATTAATTAAAACATTAAACTTGATAAAAATTATCAGTAGTATAAGGAACTACAAGATATATAATATGTAACAATTTGAATAAGATAAGTACTATGGAAATGCCAATAATTCTGAATTTCTGATTGGTAGAGTCACTCTATGTATATACACGCACATTCGAGATTATACAAGGTAACTTACTCAATTGAACATTGTTCTGGTTGATTTTAAATCATACGAAGAAAATAATCAACATAATAAAATATGAATAACATTGAACTTGATGAAAATTCTCAGCAAATAAATTGTATATTCTGAAAGGTTTTTTTTTGTGAAATAAGAAATAGGTACAGTTCCACAGTTTCACCTTAAAAATCACATCACTTTCCTACCCTTTACACAATTTCAGTATACATGTCACATCACTTTCCGAAACTTCACACTTTGGTTATGATAATCACAATATGATTCACAACACACGACTTATTAGTTTTCGTAATTGTTATACACAAATACTGGATGATATATCACTAGTCACTATCGGACTCTTCATGACTTGAATCTTCATTTACCCTAATGATAACTGGATTGATACGTGATGATATACAATATTCATAATCTTTTTTGATTACATGAGATACACAATTCCTCCATCTGTCACTCTCGTTCATCACATTAACTACTGTCCTGATGGTGGTTAAAACTGACTCGCTAAATTGCGGTGATTGGTTATTTCTACGTACTTTGCTTTTAATAGCAGCCCAGACCATCTCAATGGGGTTAAAAATACAGTGATATGGGGGCAAACGTAAGACAGTATGGCCGTGTGCTCCAAAGAGTTCATCAACTACATGTTCTTTCGGGAAATTCGAATAATGTCAGCCTTTTTCGTGTTGGTGCTCGGTATTTTCGTTGGTTGACGTGAATGAACGCATTATCCATAACGATGACTGGATCCTCTGGAATATTTGGTACAAGCTGCTGCTCTGCTCATTTCTCAAATAATTCTGCCGTCATATCCTCGTGATAATCGGCAGAGGATTGCTTGATATTTTTGGCAGACAACAACAATGCATTGTCAACAAATCACTTACATTGCAGTTTTTGCTATCATCTACCCAACGTATTGAACTACGTCATGAGTGTCAAACCACGTTTCATTTAGATAAATGATAGGTATATCGCTTCACGGTATTCCTTTATTTTACGTAGGTATTCTTGCCGATGGTCTACGATGCGTCTTGATTCCATAATCACCGTCCTCATGTCTAATTTTTTGTTGCTGAACCCGCAATCTAGTAACACATTTCACAACGTACAGGGTGGGCAAAATTGGGCGTTTTCACCGTCTATCTCAATAACTAGAGGAGTTATCGAAAAACCGATAAACATGTTCCGGGTTCGATTTTGGAGAAACCTCGAATGGCACAATCAAAATTTCGATATCTTCATTCGTTTTCGAGATACAGGGGGAAATTGAAAATTTGCCGATTTCGATTTTATTTTCTGACTACTTTACGGTGAGAGGTATCAAAAAATTTCGAACGTATATTTATACAGTATGATAAGTGGAATCCATTGGCATCATCAGAAATTTTATACAGGGTGACGTTGAAAAGATACGGCAGCCAATTATGTTTTTTCTAATGGAACACCCCGTATATTTTGGCACAGTTGAATAGTCCCAGGCGTTCTCATTACTCTTTTTCGTTACACTTCATGATCAACAACATCTCCGATTCTAATAACTCTGTATATGGTGGTATAGCTTATTTTAGTTAATTCCTGTATTCTCTTCTAATGTTGGTTTTCTGAAGAATCATTATTCTCGCCCTTGAGACGCGAATAGTTATTTAAAATGACCCTTTGCGTCCGAACGTGTAAGTCTTTATTGGCGAACTCCGCTGCTCTTCCTCCGAATCTCTATCACTCACTTCGTTGACTTCCTCAAAAGGCCTCTAGAACACAATGCATAGCGCAGGCTAGAAGATTCTTATCACACAGGAGGCCGCCCATGCAACTCTGACCAATCAACATTCAGTTTAGTTTGGAGTAACCAATGAAACGCGGTTTCTAGCATGACAAGGCTTGTCCAGTACACGTTGACTGCACAGGCTGCATACCTGGAAAGCTCAGTAGAAAATATCTCAGTCATTCCTATTCCAATGTTGAGCAAATCGACAAATCCACGCATCTTCCTTAAAAATGGAAGTTTTTCAACTGACTTCGCATAATCTATAACTGAAAAGCCATGCTTTGCGAGCGAACTGGGTGAAGAATTTTTTTGTCCCATATATCTATAGCGTGGTTCACTTTTTAGTAGCAGAACTTTGACAATTGATAACAGATCTTTCTCTCATAAATTTTGGTCATAAGAAGCTTTGTTGGGCGTTGAAATTAGTTTTATAATTATTTTGTATGTTATCGATATGAGAAAACTTAGTCTGTTATGTGAATGAAATGTAGCCAACATCCCAAAATTCCAAAAAAAAATTTTTCAATTTTCGTATTGTTAGTATTTCTAAGCTCCGTATAGGGAAAAGTTTTTCACAGCCTGTTATGCCTTTCGATTCGTTTTAGATGGGCCACCCTGTATAAAAAATTGTATGGCTGATTCTCTGGCACTTCTTCTAAATTTGAGATGCATTCAATCAAACTGTTATCTGGAAACTTTGTAAGCACTGGTATTGAATAATATGGAAGTTGACACCTTTGCGTTCTCGACCAACGGTCGTAAAAGTTGATCCAAATTTTTCATCTAGTATTTTTGTTTGTAGAGCTTGCATACAAGGCGTGAAAGTATGTATTTTTGCAGGAACGTCGTTACAAATACCAGAAGAAGTTTACCTGACATCCCAGCGGAGCAAGTAGCAGCCATCAATTGGGATCCAACTGGAGATAACTCTTCTGAGCATTATGCAACTGTGGGTCACTATCAAAATGCTGGTAATAATTCAAATTTGCTGGGAACATGTGTACAGGCTGTCCCATTTCTCTCTCACTCATTTACAAAAAAGGAGATTTGCTGTTTTCGCGAACGTTGGCTACTTTTTTGTGAAACTCGCGATACCGCAAACAAAATTGTCATGAAACGCTTCGATTTTGAGATACAGGGCGAAATTGAAAATGTCGCATTTCGAGACCACTCCTGTATCTCAGTTATCTTTCAACTTATCAAGAAAGTAAACACTGTCTTCCACACATTTCTTCACGTGAAATCCAGTGGGACAGTCAGACTTTCGAAATGATCTTTAATTATGCAGATATAACTCAGTTATGATTTTTCAAATAGAACACCCTGTATATTTTTTCATTTTTGAAACAATGATGCTTTGTGCGTTCTGAAAAAAATATTTATAACACTCATATGATATTTCGAGTATAAGCCATGTATAGTTTCTAGTTTCTCACCGGATTTTTCATCGATGGGCCTTTTAAATATGTCAACATTGTCCATATCACAAATTTACCCTCGCATTTAGCTTGATGACAAATAGCCGACTATTATTTTCTTCATAATTGTATCGAGAGTTACTTGTATTTTGACAATTTGATGAGACCATATGAACATTAATAATCTGAATAACTCCCTCGGGGGAGTTATTCCATGATTATTTATGTTCATATGGTCGAATTGAATTGTTCCAAGTTACTCCAGATGAATTAAAGAAAATAATAGTCTCCATTTGTCATGGTTGAGTGATATTCAGGAAGATTATTTCATGAACAGTGTAAAAATACTGGTTTATATGAGTCTGAACGTCAACAAGTGTTTCTGCATAACATTCTCTAGATCCAACTCTCCACTTACATTTGATTATAAATTAAAAGATGAATCGTTGCTTCACATCGCTGAAATCAAAGACTTAGGCATTTTGATTGATAGTAAGTTGACCTTTAAACAACATATTTTGAAAGTAGCTACTATTGGCTATAGAAATCTTGGATTTGTTATGAGAAACACAAAGGATATGTCAGTTGATAGTTTAAAACTATTATACTGTGCATTTGCTAGGTCAGGCTTAGAATATGCTTTTGCGATGTGGTGTCCTTACTACAGTGTCGATATCGGGACAATTGAACGAATACATAGAAAATTTCTCAGGCATTATGCATTCAGACTGGGAATAAATTGGAATCATGATTATGACAACATTCAAAATAGCACAGGTTCGGAAACTTTAGAAAAATGTAGGTTCAACACAGACTTGCTCTTTTTATATACATTGTTAAATGGTATCATTGACTGTCCCGAACTTGTATCCGAAATTCAGCTAAGTACAAACAGTAGGACTGGAAACAAAGCACTATTTTACATTAATCATCATTCCACAAATTATGGCATGCATAGCCCCCTCTCAAGGATACCAAGGGAATACAATAATAATTGTATGCATGTTGACATTTTCAGTAATTTTTCAAGAAGTCATTGATTACCATTAATAGTACCCCTTTGTAAGCAGCTGTGTTTGATTACTGTGATATAGATTCCTAATGATCCAGGATATATAGCAACTGTGCGTGATTCCTGTGATGGATTCATACTGATTTAGGATATTCTCTTGTTATAGGTTTATTTGTATTTGTTCAATATTTACATAGGTATATATTTTGTTTTTTTTTCATCTTGTATTAATATTTGTGATTATAATGTATGCAATGGATAATCGTAGATAATGTTATATTCTATTCTATTCTAAATTTTACAATTCTCCAGATACTATTTGAATAAAAATTCTTCTGAAGGCCGGGGGTATTCTTATCATATCTACGTACAATTGCAATCAATTCATCTAAAGTTAGAGCAAATAAAGAATATTAACGCTATTGATAGCGTTAATATTCTTTGATTAGAGCTTCTGTACTTTCCTTTCTTGTTTGACGAAAATATTGTAGGCTTCGCCTTTTTGCATTATGCGCAACCCTGACACCTTTGAATTCGATATATTCAAATGGATTCGTCTTACGTTTATGTTCAATGAAGTAACCTTCCTGTATATAGTTTTCTATATCAATTTCAACTGTGTATTCCAAATATTCCTCACCATTCTCCTCACCCAGTCGTTCAGGATTTGGGCAATCACGTGAGATGAGGTAGCCGCACAAAATTCATAGTTTTTCTGCTGGCAAAAAAAAACATGAATTGTTCCAGACAGACTCTTTACTCTCCTTGTTATTTTCTGATATCGATTCGCGTACATAATTCCGGAAAATTTTGAAAATTTGACAGATAGGTGACAAAGATTATAAAATCTTCTACACTCGCATTTTTTCATAGCCACCTACTAATAGTCAATAAATAGTGATGAATATTGGTAAATGTTGAATGTTGCTGAAATTGAAACTAGTGTGTGATGAAAAACTGTATCAGCAACACAGTAAATATGAAAATTCGTGATATGGACAATGTTGCCAAATATTTACAAGGCCCATCAATGAAATATCTACTGAAAAACTAGAAATTATCTAAATTCATGGCTAATACTCAAAATTCCTCATAAGTGTTAGGGCCCTTCGAAGATGACCTTCAAAAACTACTTTTCGTTTTATAGCTTCGGTACTACTGCAGCTATCGCAACCAATTTTGGGACATGAAAATCTAATTTATTTTCATTAAAGAAGAAGATTTGACTAACTAATAATGCTCACTATCTGTACTGAACCTCATTTTCATATTTCAACGTAATAATTGGTTCAAGACCAATAATTCATTATTGATTGGATTTAGCCATTTTCGGAGGAAACGGTAACATATAGCGATTTTTACAAGAGTACCTTTTTATGTAAAAGGCATTGGAGAATTATAATCAGATATAAAAATGGTAAGAAATTAAAGCCTAAGAGGAGTAGGGTCAAATTTACCCAAATACCCCCCTGGTTTGTACGCCCCTGGTTAAAGGTGACAAAATCCAGAGGGCTCAAATTGATGAACCTACGAACTAGATTTCATGTCCCAAAATTGGTTGCGATAGCTGCAGTAGTACTGAAGCTATAAAACAAAAAGTAGTTTTTGAAGGTCATTTTCGAACGGCTCTAGCTCCCTGAAGAAGCGTTTCCGGACCCATGTTCACATGAACTTTTTTTCTTATTTTCGTGTGTTTTATCTACCCTAGAAGTTTGTAACATGGTCACCGGAACACCCGGTATAAGTATTTACATAGAAAGACATACTAATAATTTGATATAAAATATAGAATTATTCAAATAGTACCTACAGCGACCTTAAATTCATCTACAGAATGAAAACAATTATCAGCCAGGAACATTTTCAATTTTTTCTTGAAATTTTGAGGATTAATTTCTTTAATATTATTTGGTAAGAGAGTAAGAGGTTGTAGAGACGAACCCCTGCAAACATGGGGAATTTTCATATTTTGAATGATGGTGCTTATTAGTTGTGATCATATTTCTGTTCCTGGTATTATGACTGTGAATTTCAATTCTTGTTCTTAATTCGCCTTTCTTTTCTGGAATAACTGTCAATAGTTGGAGAATGTATATACTTGTTACGGTTAATATTTTATTTTGGCGGAAAATGTCTCTACAGGAAGTTCGATAATCTAGATTGAAAATTAACCTCAACAAAGCTTTTTGTTTTATGAAAATTCGATCTGTCCTTGTAGACAGTCCCCAAATGATAATGTTGTATTTAATAATAGAGTGGAATTTAGCATAATACATTGATATCAGTGATTTCGTATCCAACTCACATTTCAGAGATTTAATCAAGTAATATGATTGATTACGTTTTTTACATGTAATGCCATGTAAACAATGGATCGATCATCGTTCCCAAGAATATTGTTGAATCAATCAATGAATTTTGAAAATTGAATTCGAAATCATGTAGGGTTCTAGATGAATATGAAAATTCCATGCAGACTGTTTTTTTCATGTTAAAAATCAGTCTGTTCTTATAACACCAGTTACTAAATTCAACTAATGTTCTATAACTGATGATGACCATTTGAATGGTCGAAACATGTCTCGAATCAAAAGTTGAATAAGCAGAACTGCCCGCACACATCGCCATTAAACTTGTGGAGACGACTTCGGGCTTTTTTTTCTCTTTGATCATCCCCCTCCACTTCGAGCACGGACTACTTTAGAAAATTTGTATAATTAAATGTTCTCTTCAACACCCTGTAAATACAACATTTATATGAGGCATGTTGGGTTGAATCTTCATATTTTGGTGTTAAAACTGTAGTTTAGAGATGTCCTGTTCCTAATGTTTCACCCTGTATAACCCCAGCGAAACGGCATACGGTCCCAGACGGCGGCCCTCAGCGCCCCAGCGTGTCTCAGCACAGCTCCATCAGCCAGGCGGACGACACGTTCTCGCCCTACGAGCGGGTGAAGTACGACAAGATCGACTCGAAGCAGGAGCATCCGTACGCGCGGCTGCAGCCGACCACGTCGCGGCAAGCGGCGGTGGAGGAAGAGGGAGGCGGGTCAGAGGAAAGAATCAATTTGTTGAGGTTGGTGGTGCAATTATTTGTTCATTTATGTGATGAACATGTCATAGATAGCTAGATATACAGGGTGATCCACGGTGGATGGCCTATTAGAAGTATCTGGAGAACGAGAAGACAGAACATTCTGAAAATTGGGATGCTTTGATGATTGAACATTCTCTATCCGTATAAAATATTTTCATCCATACAGTGTTGCCACTTCTATCAGAAACAACAAGCAACTTTGTTATTTCAAATGGAACACCCTCTAGTTTATTGCATTTTTAGATTCTTTCTGAAGAGCTGATTCCATCAATGTAGCCCACTTCTAGCAGAAATGATAACAGAGATATAGGGTGTTCAAAATCGAGATTTTTCAATTTTAGGATTTTTTTGTGTCGATACTGTCCATTATCGATCAAGAGGGCTTACATGTCCCTACCTCGACTCATGATTCACTACCTACTGGAATTTAAATGGAAAAAATACAGGGTACTTCAAGATTCAGAATTCTGATCACCCTGTATCTATAGAAAGCCTGTTATGAAATAGGTCAGTTTTCGTAGATATTTTGGGTTACCTGCATCAAGTATCTCAAGCAGATCGTCTGAGCTCCCAATTTCAGGTCTAAGAAATACTCGCACACTCTCATACAACGGACATTCAAAGAAAATATGCTCGATAGTTTCGTTTGAAATCAAATTGAAAATAGTGCAAATTTCATTTGTTTTAATTATGTACGAGAATGGCATGTCATAATGACAACGTTATGTCATTCAAACTTGATGACATAAAGAAGCTCATTATGGTACTTAGTCCCTTAATGAATTTATTATGGGACTAAGTACCATAATGAAATTCTATATGAAAAACATGTAATGGTGAGATCAAACAAACAAGTTTATTCAAAATGCATAACTATGTACAGGGTGATCAGTTCAGGGTAGCGAGCGGCCATATCTCATAAGATATTGGTCGTAAAAATATGAGAAAAAAAATCATGATGAAAGTTGCCAAGAGAAATTGCTGTAAATTATTTTCGAGTTTGTCAAACGTCCGCTAGAGGGCGTAACAACCAACACCAAGTAGAAAATTTGGATTTTTATAGAATTTTGTCCAATGAAAGTATATCGATGATATCATTTTCATATTTACTGACCATTTCCCTACATTTTTTGTCTGAACTGTTTTGTTCTATCTATCAAAACGAAGCGGTGGGGGAAGTTCAACGAACCAAGATTTCTCCCGTTTATTTCGACCGATTCTAGCAAACTTAGGCTCATATGAGAGAGCATAAATTGCCCTACAAAACGTTTCCTTGATTTCGAATTTTTGACTTCAGCTGTCGCCGCTAGATGGCGTCAACTGAAATGTTAGCAAATTTTCGAGCTTTTTTCAAAAAAAAAAACGAATGTAATGGTATATTAATTTTTATATGTTTCAAAAAAGGATAAATTTCTCTATAATTTTATGAAAAAAAATTATCATCTACCTCTTTTTGAACCGTTGATATTAACCAAAATATAAATTTATTACATTAAAAAATGGCACGCCAATGTTTTTACTCAAAATAAAAAACAGTTTTGTAATCTCTTATTAGTTGCTAACTAAAAAAACCTCTTGACTTTTTTTCGTTAGACAAACGGTATTGGATTGAAAAAATAAAATAGGTTTTTTTTATCGCTTGGAGCGCACGAAAGGGAATCCCTATAATGTTCAAATAACATCGTGCGTTCCTAGGGAGGATAGGGACAGGAGGTAAGTACTGGATTTTTTTTGAACTTTTGGAGATTATATGTTGTTGGGAATACTTCCACAGGCAATGAATTCCAGAGCCTAGCCGTTCTATGGATGAAGGAGTCTTGATAAAGTGCTGTTCGACATATTTCGAGGTTGACAACGAAAGGATGTGCTGACTGGGCTTGTCTAGTTCGTCTGACTGGTATTGCTAGTGAAGGGATGATAGCAGAGATTTCCGAAGCACATTTCCCGTGGAAGTATCGATAGAAAAGTGAAAGGTCGTCGACCTTTCTACGGTGTTCCAATGATGTCAAAGACTGAGTGAGTGTGACGTCACCCATCAGGCGGATGGCTCTTCTCTGGATGGAATCTAAGAGCATCAGCGTATGTTTTGGTGCTGAACCCCATATGTGGGAACAGTATTCTAGAACAGGCCGTATCTGAGCTTTGTAGATCATGAGAAGCTGTTGAGGTGTAAAGTAGCTTTTCGCACGGAACAAGAATCCGAGTTTTTGTGAGGCAGCTTTTGCGATGGATCTGACATGATTATCCCATGAAAGAGTGTTGCTGATGGAAATACCGAGCATAGATATGGTGGGCTTGGTGGAGATGGTGGTGCCAGACATTACAATGTCGGGCATACTGAGTTCCGCCTTTCTAGAGAAAATACAGGCTTGAGTTTTGGTGGCGTTGAATTCAACTAGGTTGTTTGTTCCCCAGGCTGTGATTTCAGCAAGGTCTTCATTGACAGCATTGACCTGCCTGCGCCGTGAGTTCTTAGTTTCCTGGGAAGAGATGGGAATTCTGGATGAGAACGCAGTATGGAGGGTACTATCATCTGCCAAGCTGTGGATGGGGCAAGTTGTTACTCCCAACAGATCATTGATATGAAGTAGGAATAATGTTGGTGCCAAAATTGATCCTTGTGGAACGCCGGAATTGATGCCGATGGTATCAGACGATACACCGTCCACCACCACGTGAAGCGATCTGCCTGAAAGAAAACTCGATAAGAGATGGCATAGCTGAGGTGGTAAGCCGTATGATGGTAGTTTTTGGAGGAGTCCTTCGTGCCAAACACGGTCGAATGCTTTCGATATGTCCAACGCGACAGCTAGAGATTCCCCGTGTTTTTCTATTGAAGATTGCCATAAATGGGTGACGTAGGCAAGTAGATCTCCAGTAGATCTTCGGTGGCGAAAGCCGTATTGTCTATCATTGATGATTCCTGAGCTCTCCAGATATTTGATAAGCTCAATATTGATGGCTTTCTATATCACTTTGGAGATTACTGATAACAGGGCAATGGGTCTGTAGTTGTTGGGCAGGTTCTTGTTCCCTTTTTTGGGGATTGGTTGGACTCTAGCTGTCTTCCAGCATGATGGAAAAATACCCGAACTGTACGAGATGGTAAACAACTTGCAGAGAATCGGTGTTAATTCTGATGCACATTTTTTGAGGATAATGGGTGGAATTCCATCAGGACCGTTAGCCTTATTCGCTTTCAGACCAAGCAAAATTCGTCTGATAGTGCGTTGACGGAAGACGATTTCGGGCATTCGACTCTCAACGGGTGGAATGTCTGGCGGCAGTTTTCCTTGGGAATCCAAAGTAGAGTTTGCTGCGGTTTACATGGGGCGCCCATAAAATTATTGTAAACAGTATGTAAACCTATTTCATTTTTTCAATCCAAAACCGTTTGTCTAACGAAGAAAAGTCATGAGGTTCTTTTGTTAGCATCTCATTATAGATTACAAAACTGATTTTAATTTTGATAAAAAACAGTGGCGTGCCATTTTTTACTGTAATAAAATTATATTTTGGTCAATATCAACGGTTCAAAAAAAGTTAGATGATGAATTATTTTCATTAAATTATAAAAAAATGTATTCTCTTCTGAAACATATAAAAATTGATATACCATAACATTTGTTTTTTCGAAAAAAACTCAAAAATTTGCTAACATTTCATTTAACGCCATATAGCGGCAACAGCAGGAGTCGAAAATTCAAAACCAAATAAGCGTTCTGTAGGGCAAATTATGCTCTTCATATGAGCCTAAGTTTGCTAAAATCGGTCGAAATAAACGGGAGAAATCTTGGTTTATTTAAAAAAACAATTGAACTTTCCCCACCGCTTTATTTTGATAGATCAAACAAAACGTTTTAGACAAAAAATGCAAGGAAATGGTCAGTGAATATGAAAATGATATTATCGATATACTTTCATTAGGTAAAATTCTATAAAAATCCCATTTTTCTACTTGGTGTTGGTTGTTACGACCTCTAGCGGACGTTTGACAAACTCGAAAATAATTTCCAGCAATTTCTCTTGGCGACTTTTATCATGATTTTTTTTTCTCAAATCTATACGACCAATAACTAATGAGATATGGCCGCTCGCTATCCTCAACTAATCACCCTGTACAAAACTAGTCATTATAAATAATAATAATAATAAATGTTGAAATAAATGGTGAAAGCAATGAACTCGATACAACTGGACGGGAGACGGCCGTTCTCTCGAATAGCACAAAGTGTGTCAGGGGCAGCTGCAACAAAGATAGCATGATTTACGGTAATCTGTCTCTTTCCTACTCGTGCTGTTTATTGGTGGATTGGTGTTTACGTTTGCTTTTATCAAATAATTGAAATACTTTAGATTTTTTCTCACATCTAAACAGGCAAGAAAGTGAAGACATAAGTTCATTGTCTTTGTTTATGTGAAATATCTATTCATTTGGCGTGTTTTTTGTTTTATAAAAAGGACTGAATTTGTTGGTGTAAACACTGTGAACTGATTGTTGAGAAGGTTTTGATAAACAATGGTGATTTATTGTGTCACCTTTGGATGCAAGAAAGAGCAAGACAAAAGGAAATTGTCATTCCATGGGTAAGTTGAATATTGTTCAGATTTTTGGAAAATATAGTTCTTGAAATGGTCATCAGTTAGGTGTACAATGTTCCCAGTATCAGAATATGTTCAAAAACTATACCTATATTATTTGTCAAAGTCAAATACTCTCATGACTTTTCCATAAACATATTAAGTAATATTATTTGTTGCAGATAATGCGATTTTTCCGTTGGGCTTAAATGGTCAATGAGGGTTTACCGACGCCAAGGGCCTTTTCTTGCAATTTTTCCGTTGAGCTTAAATGGTCAATTCAGAACAGGTTGATTCTTTAATCTAAAACATAGTTGGTGTTAAATATCGAATTATTAATGAATTGAGGGTTGAAAATGAATTAGTTACATGGTATTAGAAACTGAAATGTATACGAT